TATGTTCCTAATGCACTCGTTATTGGGAATCACAATATCATTTTGATACCTAATGTCTTTTTTTCTTTGCAGATAAGAAACACTTTATAAAAGAGGTAGACAGGCAGGTTTAAATCTTAGACTGTTCAAATGAACATAGCCCTATTAAAACTGACTGATGGATTATCTCTCCTTTAGATTTTGCCCTAGAGCTGAGTGGCCTATACTCAAGAATGTGGCAAAAGTACTTTTGATTGATTGTTTTGTTGACTGCTTTTTTAGATAGAAAGACTTTTAATGACTATATTCAGACAAAAGACTTGGGCTGGAAAGAGCAGGATAACAAATGTAATCTACAAAAAATCAATTATTTGTGATCATAAAATTTATTTGTATATCTTGCATTCAATGTAACTGGGCATAGAGCTTTGCAGGAACATCTGGAAAACACTAATCCCTTAAGATGGTGGTGAATTTACCATACCATGGCTCTTTGCTACTTTTCTACATCTGCTCTGGTTTATATCTGTGTCAGTGAAACGTATATGTGCATACAATTGCGCCATGGCAGAGCAGAGAGCTCAGTAGACGCCCCACAATCCTTGTCAGAGAGCTGACCAACCTTCCCTTTTTGGATGCTTTCCAGCTCATCAAAGCAGTCTTCCTCACCCATTTCTGGGGGGGTTATGTTTCTGTATTTGTTCTGGAAAAGTTCCCTGCTTCCTCAGGCTCTTGTATCTCCACCTGAGTTGGTAGAAATTAGTGAAGAAAAGATTAGACTTCATAAAGTCCTTCTGGTCTCCTTTCCCATGTGATCCCAAATCTGTCTCAACAAACCACAGTATCCATTGACCTTGGTGACAGCAAGAGATAAACCAAATTTCCCATGTGAGCAAACTGATTGCTTAAATCCAGTTTTCTTACTTTTTGTGATGACTGTTTTTTTTCTGAACGATTACGTTAAAAATTGATTATCATTTGTCTTAATCCAACACCATTCTAACATGAAGATGAAAAGAAAATAAAGATGATACAAAACCCCCTCACCTTTGAAACAAGATTTGTATTTTCATAGGGATTAAAAGCCCCTAAATAAAATAGAATTTGTCAGATACATGTAGAAACCCCAAGTCATCCTAAATCCAGGATTTCAGTAATATTTCAGTGGAGGTGTTCTCCACTGACAAGCAGTCAAAAAATGAGTTAGAATGGAGGATCGCTGCCTTGGGTAATGAGGTTTATCTCACCGAAAAGGTGTTAGGTCCCCTCACAATCTTAACTCATAGAAGGTTTTTCTAGGTGCAGGTTTGCCCCACAAACCAAACACTGCCACGGGCTCACCACATTACCACAAAACTACAGCTATGTGGTGTAGCAAATGTAGGGCAATAAATTCTAGTCATCCACAGTAACTTCAATATTTAACCATGTTGAGTGTAAATCCATATCATGCCAATAGCTAATTACAAACAAGACGGCCTTGGTACTGAAGTTACATCATTGATGGTGACTTTTGTTCTCTACAAACTGCAGCCTTAGAGACATTTGTACAGCACTAAGTGCTCAGCGCTCCATCAGAGGTGGGCACAGAGTAGAGAGTAGTTATGATATTTATGAAGCCGAAGTAAAGGCAGGTAATAGAGTATGAAACTGCCAATTCTATGGAGCCGTATTTCAGAACAGAAAAGGCCAGCTGGGGAAGCAAGCTGAGTTGGAGAAACAGAATCAAGAATAATTTATAACTAGAGGGGTAAAGTGTTTATACTGATTCATTGTTCTCAGTGTGCTTAATGTTATGAGCCAGTTTGTTACGGGTTTGTTGTGCCTCAAGTGAGCAGAGATACATTTTAATTGAGAAAAACGGGGGAAAAATGTACAAGAGTATCGTTGACTAATCAGTGTATAGCACAGGGTGTATCAACATGGTGTTTCCCCCTCTCTCCTACCCAAAGGGTTGTACCAACAGAAATGTATTAGCAAAAGCCAGCACATTTCAGGATCTTGTTTTTCTGCCTGCTGCTGTTGACTTGCTAACTGCATCTGTCCTCATTTGTACATGTAATGTCAATTGATGCCTGGACCAACAGGTATGTGTGTAAACTGGAGTAACAGATATGCAGTAAAAGTTTCACACTGATCTCTGGTCCATCTGCTGTCAAAATTTCTCTGGCGCAGCTGCTGGGCTTGCATGCATTAACGCTGAGCTGTTGTGAAACCAGCTAGTATATTTTGATGGTTGCATTAACACAGCACTAACTGGGAGAAAAAGTAGGTCTTTTACCGATTCCTGAATTCAGTATCTGATCACTGACTGATGATCATGTTAAAAGGATAATTTGAGTGTACCAGGCAATGTGCATCATGTGATGCTTGAGACAAATCCATGACACCAGATGCTTTAATTACAGAGAACATACATTTACAGTCTTGAAAACCCTTCTGCAATTACCACAGATTTTACATAAACATTATAGGTTGGGGAATTACTGTATGGACAGACAAGGGAAGTGCTCCACAGAAGATATTAATCAATGCTGTCAAAATCTTCTGAATGCCTCATGTACGTATACTTCCCTATAGCCATACAGTGACAACTCTATACTTTTTTCTTTACTAGAATGCAGCATTTGGCAAAAAGCCATGAAAAGTTAACACTGGCTGAGACAAGATGGTCTGTCCCATCTCTGATACAGACCAGTAGCAGATGCAGAGGAATGAGGCAAACATCAGATAATACATTTCTTATACATCTTCCAGACTTCCCATATTCTCTTCAAAGTCATGTGGGCTTTTAAATAATCTCCAGCTTCTCTGCATCCCATGTCCTCAGCCATTTCTTCCAGCACTACAAGCATTTACATACTCTTAGATGCACTAGTTCCTCAGCTCTAATTCAGACTATCCACATCACCTACATAAGCTAGCAGAATAAACGGAAACACAAGAAACAAGACTTCATGGTGGGTCAGTGTGGCAGAAAAGCATCAGTCAGCCCTGAAAGAGAAATCAGTCTGCGGAGGTGCTAAAAACTTCCAATTCAGCTGGAGGATGAAGAGCATTATCGAGACTCTCAACTAACTCAGTTTCCTGAACTCTGTTTCAGCATCCTGCTGGGCTGGATCCTTGCTGGGTCCCTGATTACCGACACCAAATCTGTGATAGTTGACTCCTATTTATGCTATGGGGTTGAGTATTTGGGGCTATATCCACTATAGCCACATAGCTTTAAAAGCACAGATTACTAAGGGGGAATCTACCCAGTTTGAAGGGCAAAATGTTGTAGACTGTAAGGGGACTGGAAGAAATCCTTTTTATGACACCCAGGCATTAGACTAGTGCTGACCTTCATCTCTCAGCTGTGCCTAGAATAATGGGAGCTGCAGATTGTACAGAGCAGAATCTCAATGACACCTGTGAAACAATTCTGTTGATAGTCAACAGTCAAGTCACCAGTAACCTGAATTTTCTCACAGGCCACCGCTAGACCACTGGCAACAAAGCTGATTCATTTCACCATTTTTTCTTCATCTGTTATATAGCAATAATGATATTTGCTTTACTTCATTATGTACTTTGGGTTCTATAGATGAAAAACATCTGATCACAATTGAAGTATGAACAAACAAATATAAAAAATGACTGGAAAACTGAACCAAGTTGCTTCAAACTTCTTGTTTCAACTTGAAAAACTTGTTTGAGTCCAATATCCAGCTCTGATTCAGGTGGTATTCTCTTTTTGTCACCACCTGTAGTTTCAGCCTATTTAAACTCCTACTAGTTTTGCAAACATTACACCATGTGCCTATGCCAATCCTTCTCTCTCAACACTAAAATCTGTTTTGAAATCCAAGTTGCCTTTCCCCAGCTGTGCAACATTTTCTTTTTTTTTGAACCCTTCCTGAGCAAAGAGCAAAGCCATTTCCTTAATTGGATCAAAAGGGGGATTTTTAAGGCAGATTTCACCTTCAACTTTTTAACACAATAGTATAAGGAGAATCAGTGGGTTGAAAGACTGTGGTCAGAGTTGACAAGGGCTCTTTCAAAGAGTGCTGCAGAAGGTCTTGCTGTTGTTTCTCTCACTGAGGCATTGAGGCTGCCAGAGTGATACAGGAAACCTCTGCATCCACCTCCAGCTGCAGCCAGGCTACTGAATACTGCAACCACAACTGTAGTGCTTTCATCCACGCATCTCAAAGCAGTTATTTATACCAGTCTCTGATCTGTCTGTGATTTTACACAACCTGACTGAACAAGGAGGAATTTATTCAAATGGAGGAGAGTCTTCACTGAGGAAATGGTGGTGGACTAGTAATGCTCTGTGTGCGTGCTTGTGTGGATGTGTATGTGTGTGATTGATTTCACTGAGCAGCAATTTGTACTCTGATAGTTTTATTGTTGCTGTGCTACAGTTCAGAAAGGAGCTGAAAGGGCTCAGGAGTGATGACAGCAATAGCAATAAAGGTTTTGAAGAGAATGGTCTATAAAGAAACACAATTTTTCCTGCTGTTTTCAAAGGCTGGGCTATGTTTCTTTCTGTAAGGTTTGAAGGGACTCTTATGGCTCCCTGAAAAGCAGGAGGCAAGTGTAAATTGCCATCACTTTCACAAGGACAGGGGCACAGGGAAAGTTGGAATTTTAGAAAATGATGTATTTTTGCTGCCAGTCAATCTCCCCTTTGTCCGTGGGTGAATCAATGTGATCAATACACGAGATAGCTGTATGAGACAGCGAAGGAAATCAGTGTGAACTAGAAAACCTGTGGGGCTTTACAAATCACCCTCCTTTCACCTCCCGCTGCTGTCTCCACCCTCGGCATGTTCTGACTCCTCCTGGAAAACAGTGATGCTGGAGTCTGCCTGGGCTGGATCAGCTCAGTCCTGTACAGCACTTTAGCCAGCTGGCAATGCAGGAACGCTCTGCTTCCCCTGCTGCGGCCACCTCCTCCTCTGCAGGGGGGAAAGCTCCCATCCCTGTGTTTTCCTGAACTCCTCAAGCCAGCTATGATAAAACAGCTTTTTCAACCTGTGCAAATGAGCTGGAGTCTCAAAGGGCTTAACTTTTCTGGCAATTGGATTTGCAAAGACTGAAAGCCCAGGTGCTTTCGGGGGAGTGGAGAACAGTGAATGAATGGGGCTGTGACTACATGGAGAATGTGCTCTGGGGCTATGGCTCACCCACGCTCTGCTCTACTCACCCTTTCACAGGGGACCATGGAGAACATGTGCTGAGACCGAGTGCTGGGCAGAAGCAGCAGCGGACTGGTGAAGATGGAGAATGGCACAGGAGATGAGCAGAACCAAACTGGGCTGCCATCAAGCCAGGAGATCGTTACAGCTGAATACCAAGTGGTTACCATCCTCTTGGTCCTCCTTATCTGCGGACTGGGCATCGTGGGCAACATCATGGTGGTTCTGGTGGTCCTCAGAACCAAACACATGAGAACTCCCACTAACTGCTACCTGGTGAGTCTGGCTGTGGCAGATCTCATGGTGCTTGTGGCTGCAGGACTGCCCAATATCACAGAAAGCCTGTATAAATCTTGGGTGTATGGATATGTGGGGTGTCTCTGCATCACTTACCTCCAGTACCTAGGGATCAATGCTTCTTCTTTTTCCATCACTGCCTTCACCATTGAGAGATACATAGCCATCTGCCACCCAATCAAAGCTCAGTTCCTATGTACTTTTTCAAGAGCCAAAAAGATCATTATTTTTGTCTGGGCTTTCACCTCTGTATATTGTATGCTCTGGTTTTTCTTGCTAGACCTTAATACAGTAGTCTACAAAGACATTACTGTTGTGTCCTGTGGCTATAAAGTGTCTAGGAGCTATTACTCTCCTATCTACATGATGGACTTCGGCATATTTTATGTTTTGCCAATGGTATTGGCTGCTGTCCTCTATGGCCTGATTGCTAGAATACTGTTCCTGAACCCCATCCCTTCGGACCCAAAAGAGAACTCTAAGACATGGAAGAATGATGTTGCTCATGAAAGCAAGACTGTGAATTCCAGGATGACTAACAGGAATTTCAATAGCACTGTTGCTTCTCGAAGGCAGGTAGGAACAGTAGTTTGAAATGGCTTTCTGAGACCTAAACCCCACTTGTTTCAGAGATCACCAGTCTAAACCTGTGGGAGGGGGTGTATTGAGTATATGTATCTATTTATAAATATGTACATATTCTTCCTTTTTGCTAAATAGTCAAGATGAAATTCTGTGATACATATATACATACATAAAATACATATTTTTCCTGCCTATTCATTATTACCTGCTGCAAGAACTGAAAAACAAATACTATTTTATTTCTTATATCAATTAGGAAGTATCAATAAAGAATGAAGAATTTTTAACCATAGTTTCTTTTTATTAAGCCTGTTAGTAATCCTGACAAATATACAGAGTGACTCAAGTTATTTTTGAGATCTGGAGGCAAAAAACTAATCCTGGAGTTTAGGAGACTGGGGTGTTTGTCCCAGCTCAGGCACTGGATCACTCTGCAAACACAGTTAAGTGGTTACTTTTCCTGTGTGTAACTCTGCTGGTGAAAGTCTACTTAAGCAAGTCTGTATGTAAAACTGCCTTCTAAATGCGAAATATCTTTGTTATTCTGTGTCTCATAAAATAGCTTTCTGTATTGATGCCTCAAACCTGAGGCATAGGTTTGACTAGCTTCTTTTAATATTGTTAAATATGCATGCTGTAATGAGTAATTATACAAGTAGACTATAGTTAGTAGGCTAATTTATGGCTATTTGCAATAAATCAGACTGCCTCACAGTCACACAGTAGGCAGCAGGTAGCACTGTCAGGTGCAGTGCTGAGAAATGCAGGGCACATCGCTTCCCAGCAGGATCTCGGGAGCTGACTCCAGTGGGTCAGGCAGCTTGATGTGAGTGGTTTGGTTCACAGCCCTCAGCAGTCCATTTGCCACACGGGATGCTTCTACCTCCTTGCACTGTGCAGTTCCCTCCGGAAGCAAGGCTGAGCTGTGCACCCTTTCAAACCAGCTGAGTGCCCTCCTTCGGTGACAGGTTGAACTTTATATTCCTTATTATGTATGCATTGCTATGGTTTAATGAGAGAGACCATTTTCCCTTGTTACAGAGATGACACTCACCTCAAAACTTAACTGAGCTGCCTGCTAGAGCATGGAGCCCTCCCAGAGCACAACTATGCTTTGAAATGCATAACTGAAACGCGTGGGCTAGGTTATATTTAATTATGTGTCTCCAATTAAACTGTTAGCCAGAGTAGATGTGTTTAATCTTGTTTTTCTTTGTCCATTAATTAGTAGAAGAACAAGATAATCTGCTTTTCAAGTTCTCAATATCACTTTAGTATACATGCTTGATTACATATACGTGAAAAAAAAGATTTTTCACATTGAGCATTGCTGAATGTGGATACTGTTATATTATGAAACCTAAATGTGAGGATTGCAATGTGATACATTGCAATGTAGATTGCAATTGTGGACAACTGAGGATGCAATTGCCTTCTTTGAACTGTGCTTGCACTACAATGATGGAGTTGCATACGATGTCCAGCATATGATCTGTAGAAAAAGTTGCTGAAAATGTGGTGTACTCTTTCTAGTTCTGTGGCAGTTCTCATATTTACCCAAGAACATCCTACAGAATGAAATCTGTGCATGTTCCTGTGGTGGGATTGCTCTGGCTAGCATTCAAACATCCACCTAGCTGCATGCTCATTCTTCAACCCTATGAAAATGGGAAGGAGCAAGAAAGCTCATGGGTCAAGATAAGGAGAGGAAGATCAGTTATCAGTAGTTGTCATGAGCAATGCAGACTCAGCTTGGGGAAACTTAATTTATTGCCAATTTATTGCCCCTTGCTATAGGCACGAGTTATACTCAATTGCTTCCATGAGGCAACTGGCATCATAGGGCCAGGGAGTGTTGTGGTCAGGTTGCAGAGACTTGTCTCTGTCACTCTTTCCTTCTCACTCTTTACCTCTGTGGGTCTTCCATGGGCTGCAATCCCTTCAGGTGGTGCCAGCTTTGCCAAGGAGCGCCTCCTGTCTGACTTTGGTGCTCCCTCTCCTGTTTCTCATTCTTTTGTTCTCTTCCTGCCTCTGCAGCATTTTTGCCTTTTCATAAATATGTTTTCACAGAGGCACCACCAGCTTGGCTAATGGGCTCATCTGTATCCTGTGGTGGGTTTGCTGGAACTGGATGGAACCTGCTCAGGGAGGCCACCCATGCAACTTCCCAGCTCGGACATTGAAATTCAATACAGTCCCACTGAGTGATTATGGTTAATTATTATTATACTTAACCTACTAAGAACTCACATTTATATAATACACCAGAACACAACTGTAAGTTAGATAGGTTTCTTCAACTTTCATGAAGGTTTAACTTAGGGAATTTCATAACCACTTCTGAAGAGGATTAATCCAACATGGCACCATGTGAATTGGTTTCTCCATGTAAAAAAAGCTCTCTGCTCAGGGAGGAAGCAAATATAGAATAAAATAACCATTTCCTTACAACTATGGAGGACATCTACTTAAGATGGGGGAGGGGTGGGAAGCTCAGCAGTGAGATAAACAGAGTGGGAGGTGGCTATTGCTGAAGGAGAATAGATGAACCACATTCAGCTTCATTAGAACAGGTATTTTCAGTCTCTGATGTAAACAGACATAACACCAGCACTGAAAGGCAAAAAAAAATAGTTGTCAGGTGCTCAGAGGACTTTTGTTTTCAAAACAGAATGGCAATTTAGAGCATTCTATGACTTAGAAAGAAGGCTTGGGATATATTTTATAACGGTGAGTCAAGCCTATTTTAGCGTATTTTTGATGGGAGATGCCTAGGCATGAGTTCTGAATGAAGCTATAGCACATCTCCAATAAACAGAAATCAACTCTTCCAGGTATAAAGTGGTCGGTCCTCTACTTACTTATTCCATTCACTGCCTGCACCCTTCCACCCACAGGATTTAAATGTCACTGAACTAGTTCCAGGAAATATTTATTTCATTACAGTGTTTGGGAAGCTAAGAGGAACAAAATCTGTTTACTAAAGAATCAACGCCCCCATATCAAGAGCCACCAATGGACAAAGCCTTCAAAGTACTCTTCAGGCCCTGAAGTTTTTATTCAAAGCACTGCAAAACAAAACTGAACAGGGAAGACAAGCTAAGAAAAAAAAATGCAAAAACAAATTAAAAAAAAAAAAAAAAAACACACACCAAAACCTAAAAACCCCAAACAACCCAGGTATAAAAATCAGTCCTTTTTTTTTAAAAATGTTGAAAGAGAGGGAAAGGCACAAAGAAAGCTTTATTTTCTCATAAAATATTTCCATTTCCAACACATTTTTGCTTCACTGGACATCTGTTAATGCTGATATTGGACAACTACTGAAATTATAAAATATTTGTTTACACTGCAAACTACATCTCTACCAAGGAAAGAAGCACCAATAGATACCCATAGGATGTGCCAAACTCCATTCTTATATCCACTTCTGAAGAGCTACATCAGCGTGGCTCTTGCAATATTTTCTGTTTTACAGAGCTGTAGTGGATAGCAGGGTGTGATAGATGTATTAAAAGTTTAGGTTTACTAAGGAAACCCAAACAAACTAGTTTTATTGACAGCCAGGCACTCCTTTATACATGGGAGTACATTTCCAATTCACTTTATCATTTCCATCAGGCTCCTAGTGTCCCAGAAGGCACAGAAACCTGTTCATTCTGCCTCTTGTCAGAAACTAAATCCACTCTTTATGGAAAGCAATAAGAGTCATTTACTTCCTTTGCAGAGCTTTTCATCAGCCACTACAAGTCAGTAGGTCACACCTGACTTTGCCCTGAGGGAAGATCTCTGCCAGAATAAAGCAAGATACTGGTATGCTCCATCTTCAGAGGCATCAGTCTGTGCTCAAGACTCCATGCAATTAGGCCCTGAGGAATCTAACAGTGTTACAGTTTTTTGTAGTATTGAAACATGCAGTTAAACTTTCAAGTATGTGTTTAGTTTGTGACTAAAGAAAAATCTTAAACATCTATTAGCTCTGATGGAGCTGGTGATGACTGCGTTGGATGGGCTTTCATCTGTGCTTTGCATAGAAAATAACTTTGCTAGACTGAAGTTCATATATAGCACTGAGAAAACAATGATATAGTTCTGGTGTATAGATTCCCTCAAGTTGAACAGGAGGGAAGTTGAGAAAGTACAGTTTTCCAGCACCCTTCGGTTGAACCCAGGTCACAGTAGCTGAAACTTCAAAGCTCAAAGGAGGAAAGATCAATAAGATTAGAAGATGACATCATGACAAAGAGCCTCTCTTAAGGCAAGAGAGTTTAAAGTCCCATTTACATGCTTCAGAGACAAGGAAAGAACTTCAATGCTAAGATTTATTTAACAACTGTGCGATCATTTGTACAGATGATCACAGATCCCAAGGAAGTGAATTGATTTTTACTCACTCACCAGAAAATACAGACTGAATTCGGAGCAGTCCAACTAAAAATATAATTTGAACACGTAAGGAATCCTGGACTTCATGAAGCACTGGGAAACTCTAATTGTTGTCATGGAATTAGGGTAAAAACTACACGTAGTGGCAAGAAAGACTGAATATGACCCAAAGGATCATGAGCTAAGCAGGGACTTCCTCCCAGATTGCTCAGGACCTTAGATTAATGAAATTTCCCTCCAACACTTTGTTATGATTTCACAGAATCAGTGGGGCTGGCAGGCACCTCCGCAGATCATGCAGTCCAGCCCAACCCTACTGGTAATACAGAACTCAGTGGTGCTGTGGTAGACAGAAGACATCTGGCTTGCTAGCCTACTAGGTAGCTGTTCTTCTGCCACTTTAGTTTCTCCATTGCAGTTGCAAAGGCAAATGCAACAATTGGATATTTTATTTTTCAGGCATGCATATAATTACATTAGCCTACTAATTTGTGTCTTTGCTATTCCAAAATGGCCTCTTATTGGTACTTGCAAGCCATCCATATTGCTGTTTCCTGAAAACACATTCACTGACTGTATCCTAATCAAAATGAATAGCAATTGAGCAAACATTAACTGCAGTTACAGGCATTTATGGCACATAAATGGTAATGTGTGTTCATAAATTTGATCTGAAAAAAAACCACAAGTGCCTGTATCAAAGGTTTGGCCAGATTATCCATAATCAAAAATTGCAGACAAACCAAATTCAATATAATCAACTCATTGCCTCTATGAAGCAGCAGTTCATATTTAACTTACATTCACATACATTATAGCTTCAACTTAACATGTGCCTGAAATAATTCTTTAGTCTTTACTCACAGTCTTCCTTTCAGTATCTTTACATCATAAAGTACCATAAATATAAAAAATAAATTTCTACACTTCTTTTTCTTTTCTTTTTAATAAACAGCACCACCCTTATAGCAGCTATGAGCCCAAACATTGTCTAGCTAATGTGCTCATGGAATCACAATCTGAGCTATGTGCTTCCTTTTCTCTTTGCTTCCTTTTCTCTTTCCCATATGCTACTCCCCTGTCCAGTTCGCCAAATCAGATCCTGGTTCCGGCTGTGTTGAACTCTCCCATATTTCCATTTTATCCCACCTAGTTCAGTCAACATATCCCAAATATTTTTCTTGTCCATCCATAATATGAACCCTGAATTAAATATTTGCAGGTAGATTTCATACTTTCTCCAAAGGAATTCCTAGTTTCCTCAGGCATCAAGGACTGTGAAAAATAAATACAGCCTTAGACAGCAAACCTGTTTGCTTATACTTGAGATGGGATCCATCTCATTTAACATTCACAGAATCACAAAAATCACAGAATCACAGAAGGACTGAGGTTGGAAGGGACCACCGGGAGTCATCTAGTCCAACCTCTCCACTCAAGCAGGGTCACCTAGGGCATATTTATTGCTCAGGATTGTGTCCAAACAGCTCTTTATCTCCAGTGAAGGAGACTCCACAACCTCTTTGGGATCCTATTCCAGTGCTCAGTTACCCTCACAGTAAAGAAGTTCTTCCTCATGTTCAGGTGGAACTTCTTGTGTTTTAGTTTATGCACATTGCCTCTTGTCCTATCACCTGGCACCATCAAGAAGAATCTGGCCTACCCTCTTAACACCCTCCCTTCAGATAATTATGCACATTGATCAGATCCTCCCTGAGCCTCCTCTAGGCTGAACAGGTCCAGCTCCCTCAACCTTTCCTCATATGAGAGATGCTTCAGACCCTTAATCATTCCAGTAGCCCTTGACTGGAGTTGCTTCAGAAGCTCCATGTCTCTGCTGCACTGGGGAGCCCAGAACTGGACACAAGTCCAGGTGAGGCCTCACCAGGGCTGAGCAGAGAGGGAGGATTACATTATGTATATCTCACAAAGTTAGTTGCTTATCCAATCAAATTATCTAAGACCTCTCCGCAGTAGATTAAAACAGGTAGGTTACCCTCTAGAGAAAGTCCTCTCTTAGACACTGAGGCAGTACAGGATTACCTGCCCTTCATAGAAACCCCTCTGGTCTCTCACAGTAGAGCAAGCACAGATTCCAGCTTGCAATGCAACATAAGTTTTGTATGGCTTACATGGAATACTCAATCATATCACTTGGTTTCACTTGCAATGATATTATATACAGACCATAACCTTTTATTTATTTAATCTTCCTTATTGTACAACTTCTTTTGGATTGCAAAATCACAGACTGGCAATTGCAATATCTCTGCATTGCAATGAACACCACCAAGAACAAGAATAATAAGAACAATACTATTACATGGCTTTAAAACACCAGAGTGACTCTATAGCACACTAAACCAGTAAGTATGACTATTACTCTTAACTATCAATCTAAGAAAGATTAGTATTCAAAAGAGAAGGAAGCAACTAGTGAACTGTTAGTACCATGGATGAAAAAGTCTTGTAAAAGCATTTTCCTAGAATGACAAGGTTTTGGAGCAGGAAGGAAACACAGAATACTAGTTCAGATGCAAAATATTAGAAATATGTTTAGACAAAAAAAAAATTTAAATGTTTTTCAGAATGTCCTGAGAAACCAAAAGACAGGGCTTGAAAAATGGTTGTGTGCAGGCAGGAAGACATTCAATTTCAAGCACTTCCTAGTATTCCAAGTACACTTGAAATATGGATTAATATGGATTTGTTCAACGCCTTTTAATCATGCTTAACTGGAATGTATTTATGAGTGATTTTAGTGGAGCTGACTGTCTCCTTGCAAGCAATTGAAACTCATGATTATCAACATCTATCCTTTCTGCAAGCAATGAAATTATAACCTATACAACCAGAATGTATGCTGTGGTTACAGGAGTTGCTGTTTCATTGAATTGTAACTTCACATACCCAGTAAGAAGGACTAAAGTGAAGGTAAAAAGTTCTTTAGTCTGTCAATAGGCAACAACAGTTTTATGTCAAGAAGAAAGGGAAACAGTAAAACACATCACGGTCAAAAGAAGCAGTTGTAGCTCACCAAAACCAGTGCAAATGATTTTAAGTTCATGCACACAAAGTTAGCCAAGTCATCTCATGACTTTGATGAGGCTGTGCCACTGTACTATCCCACTGTCACATCTCACTGTACTTTCTACCTTGTTTATTAATATCTTTCAGATTTCCTTTAATGTAGAGACTAGGAAATACCATATATATTAGAATTAAGAATTAAACTATATATAAAAGAAAAAGTCCTTTTACAGTGATGGGTATTTTCTCTATATTTTTATTATTTCTTGTTCACTACATTTCAGCTATCCTGGGTACCCCCAAAGGCTGGCTTTTTTTTTTCTTTATTCAAATCAAATTCACACAATAGGTCAAAGTTCTCATAATGATAAAATATTATTGATTTTTTTTTTTTCCTGGCAATGTAAACCTTAAATGACATTTCAGAGTAAATATCAAATATTGAAGATCTAATTAAATATTGAGGACTTGAGGAATAGAAATAGATCTAATTTTTATTTGCATTATTTTTGGCTTTTGGAAATATTTTTAGGGTGGCTGTTAAAGCAGATATTCTAAACAGGTTTTAGGTTCAGTTACTCTACAGACAATACTAGTCTGCAGAAGGAGATCTAATGTGATTGAAACAAATGGCTTTAGACCCCTTTTTTTTCCATTTGAATTAATACCTCCTTCCAGCTTGAGAAGTTGCAAAGTCCAAGGTCTACAACAATTAGTTTATTGGAATGTCACCTGGAAAGAGTTATTTAACTAGAACTAGGAAGAATTTGGAACCAGGTATTTTTGTCCTTGTTACTGTAGAAAGCCTTTCTTCATCAAACATTGATGAGGAATTTCCAGCTGGAGAGCCTGTCTATAGTTTTACGTTGGCTCTAGAGATGTAGGAATGCACATGTTCCTTCCAAGATGAGTTCTAACCCACCCCTCTTCTGTCTTCCTATGTGTTCCCCCAGGTTACCAAGATGTTGGCTGTGGTTGTGATCCTATTTGCATTTCTATGGATGCCCTACCGCACACTGGTTGTGGTCAATTCTTTTCTCTCCAGCCCCTTCCAAGAAAACTGGTTCCTGCTATTTTGCAGAATCTGTATCTATTTAAATAGTGCCATCAATCCCGTAATTTACAACCTCATGTCCCAGAAATTCAGAGCAGCCTTCAGGAAACTCTGCAACTACCAGCAGAAACGGGAAAAGAAACTGGACAATTACAATGTGGCCCTAAATTATAATGTCGTCAAAGAGTCTGATCACTTCAGCACTGAACTAGAAGATATTACTGTCACCAATACCTATCTGTCCTCTGCAAAACTGTCCCTTGGCAACACGTGTTTATCATCTGAGGTAACAGCTCATGTATTTTAATGTTTCGTGTAGAATTCTTATGAACCAGGATGACGAGAAGCATGCAGGTTAAGCTTTACTCCCTGATGAACACAGGGCAGCAGTGGAGTATCAGAGCAGTGCTTGGGCATGGTGTCTCATGCACATGTCTGGCAGGAGGGTGGGCATTGGTGTCTGAGCTCAGCGACTCCTCCTTGTGTGCTCTGGCTGCCCACAGGAAGGCAACAGGGAGTTTTCTTGTGCCTCACACCCTGGCTCCTGCTTGGGGTTAAATAGCCCAGTGCCATCATGCAGCTGGTGCTAAGAGAAGACATAGACCTCCTCCACACCAGCACTCTGGTCTTGAGAATGATGAAAGTCACATCCACCTCCATGCTACCTGCCCCATCCCTGTGTGCAGCACATCTCTCTAACCCAGCTCTCTTCTATGTGATCCTAGAATCATAGAATAGTTAGGGCTGGAAAGGAACTTAAGATCATGTAGTTACAACCCCCCCTGCCATGGGCAAGGACACCTCACACCAAACCATGTCACCCAAGGCTCTTTTTACACAATACTACTTAAATGCTTGTACACCTGTACACCTTAGCTCTTACCATACAAAATATCCACAGAAAGGCTTAGCTTTTCATTTCCTTTTGCACATGATATGAAAATGAAAAATATTTCTTTCTCAGTTTTTTTCCCTCCTTATTTTCAGGCCTGAGGCCCACCTTTGGATGCTGTGTTCCCACCAAGCTGTATGAAATGTAAAGCCATTTCTGGTCACACAATTGCAGGAGTTACCATATATCTCTACACACCTGTCTGTGTCCTAGAAGGAAAAGCTGCATCCTGGGGAGCAAAAAGAATATACTACTGAGTCTAACTGAATGGAGTACTTAACAGAGTTTTAAGCAGATGAGTTGGCTACAGTAGAATACCTAAGTCCTTCATCTCATGTATCAGCCAAAGAGTGGTCTGCGTTCCCAGAAACAGCAAGGCTGCCCAGGACATCTCCTCAGATGCAGAGCAGGGTAACAGATGATGCTCCTCATGAGGTTGAGAGGCAAGGAGAGGAGCTGCCCTTCTGTGTGCCTGCATCTGGAACTGCCCATCCCACACCAGCCAGAGCCATTGCCAACTGCAGTGATCATCTGTGTTTGACTCCCCCATCCCACGGCAGTGCAAATCTAATTGATAGCATCATAACACACTTCAATGAGCAGACATCTGATGAAAAAGAGTACAAATTTTTGTCTTTTTTTTTTTTTTTTTTACTTTGAACTGCATGAAATAGAAAGATCCTTCAATGAACTAATTTGCAGCAGGGAATAAGCAAAAAACTCAGTAAGAAGCTTTAAAAAAATCTTCAGTTTTTGGCAATCTGGACTTTTTACAAGGGCATGTAAGGGTAGGACAAGGGGGAAATACTTTTAAATTGAAAGAAAGTAGATTTAGATTAGACATCAGGAAAAAATTCTTTGCTATGAGTGTGGCGAGACACTGGAACAGGTTTCCCAGAGAAGCTGTGGCTGTGCCATACCCTGGCAGTGTTCAAGGCCAGACTGGATGGGACTTTGATCAACCTGGTCTAGTGGAAGGTGTCCCTGTCCATGGCAGAGGGGTTGTAACTGGATGATTTTTAAGGGCCCTTCCAACCCAAACCATTCTGTGATTTTATTATTCTATAATTATATGTATACGTACCACATTTAATGTAAATTTCAGCTAATACAGAAGCCTGTTGGAACATGACAGGTACTTAAGATTATTGGACAAACTTTCACTAGTTAATATTATCTTGGTTCAATAATAGTTGTGCGTCAGACTGCTACAGGGGGTTTACAAATTTTGTATAGATAATGTCTGAGGAAAAGAGGAAAATTCAGTGAAAAATGACTTTTTTCACTTTTGGGCTCAAAAATTACCAATTAAAGTACTTCATGACATAAAAGGCATTATCAGAAGAGAAGTCACAATGGCTTCTCACTTGCCAGTAGAGCTGATGGAATGCTCTTCCCTCAAGCAGCCTGGGACCACAATCTCCCCACTGTAGGTGCAGTCAAAACATACCATATGGCTTTGCTCTAGACCAGCTCATGGTCTTGCTAGAACTTCAATTACTCATTCCTGTGCAGCAGTAACAGAAACTCTGGAAGATGCCTGCATATTCTTGTTTGTTATGAACATTTTGCACAGCTTTTTTACATGACATTTAAAAAGCTGTAAACTCCTAAATGTTCCAGTAAAATAACCAAAAAACAACTATCTGGTGTGGATGTAAGGGATAACCTCACTAGCATTGTAAGGCTTTTCCATCCAGTTTTCCTTTGCATATACAACTGCTTCCCCAATTCAAAACACTTTCATGTCCATGTTTGCAGAATTAAAGAGAACTGAAAATATTGATAGGCCTCACATTTAGATTTCAATGTGAATCCTTGACTGCTGCATCCAAAAGCCCCTATTTAATGCCGTCTGGATGGCAAGGGAGAAGTGAAGAGCCTGTATCCTGCTCCATCTGCATCCCTGCTTTAACTTCTGTTTTAAACTTGCAGAGCTTCACAGGTGCTTTCTAGCTCGGCTGAATGATGGCAGGGCATTGAAGGGATCAACAGCAGGAGGTTTTCAACCAGCAATACAGATGTGACAAACTTCCTCCAGAAAGGACTTTCTATCATCTTTTATTTCCATCAGCACTTGCCTTTTCATTTTGGCGAGCAGAGGGAGCAAGACCACAGGGGTATTGTCCTTTTTGAGACTTTTACCTGAAATTATGGGGGGAGAAAGAACACCTCACATGTGGGCATTCATCAGGGGCAGGCTGTACCCTGGAGCCTATCCCAGGAAGCACAGGAGCTGGCAGAGCTTTGGCTGGAGCAGAGCCAGCAGCTGAACCCATGTAGGCTGTGTTGCAATGTTTTGTATACCCTCTGCATTTGGGGCTCTTTTTACTTTGTTTACTAGGGGCTGAGGCTTGCCAGCTTTTCTGCCTGAGCAGCACAGGCCACCAGACACATGCATGGGGTCTGTTTCTGTGCAGATGCTCCATCACCATGGCATCTGAACACGCACACATCTGCAAGGGGGGTCCAGACTCTGTGCTGCTTTTGAATAAAAATAAAATGGCAGAGTAAGCCACATGGAAGCCAAGCGGGCAAAGCTGACCAGTGTTCAAGAGTCAGAAGAATATGATGTTGTTCTAGAGTTAGAATTTATAGCAATTCTATCTCATACATAGAATACCACTGCAGGGACATACACTTTGAACAAACCTTTCCTTAATAGAGCCTGAAGTGAAATTACAGAGTTCTACAGCATTTTACTGCTCACGCTTAAGCTAGATTGCCATTGTAAGGAGAAGTCAAGGAGAGGTACCACAACCTGTGTAATGTTTCCTCCAAAGCAACTGTCAAAGTAAAATGAAATTATCTGGGAAATCTTACACAGGCATTTCCATCTACCTAGCCAAGAGACATATTCAAAGTAAAAGGTTCCTCTATCTGCCTGAGCAAAGCCTTTGTCCACAGTCAGCCAGCACCTCTCGCAGCTGATCAAAGTGGTATCTGGGTTGGTACTGGAGGAGGAGCATACAGATGTAGCTCCTGGTGGAACTAGCATGTGGAAATCCTTTCACTCTTCAAATGCTGTTGTCAGTTAGACATCTATCCAGTGCTTTCAGACCAGGCTCTACCTCCCAGACCTTTCTAAAGGAGTGGCACAACTGGGTCCTTTTCTTCACGCTTCAAAAGTGTGAGGAGACCTCCAGGACAAGCAGCAGGCAAAGACAATGCATGCCACGGAAACCTGCCTGCACTATTAAGAACACAACCGGCTGGGTGAAGAACTGAGCCAAGTATTCACATAATAACAGCAAAACAAACTTACACTTTTATCTTGGTCCTTTTCAGAATACAGACTGAAATTATAGACTGACACTATCAGACATAAATTCTCTCCTTTATCTGCTTTTTGCTTAAAAAGTAATTTTCTGCTTTCTCAGCCTCTGTCTCCATAGTCCTTTTTTTCCCCTGTTCTCAGGTGAGGTATGTAAGCCCATATTCTTCATGAAATTTCATCAAGGGCTAAAATCCGTGTAGCTGATTGTGCATGCACCATCACTTAGAATAAAAATGAAAGGTATTATTTCATTGTGATATTTATGTGCTCTAACAAAAATGATTGAAATGAAAATTGTGTGCACCAATGCAATATCTAAAATTGCAGATTCAAGTTAGAGTGTGATTTTAATTAAAAATGTGCTGTGAATATATCTTTATAGCTAACATTCATGAAATCTATGTTAATTTTGTACAGATTCATACAGCTAACACTATGAAACTTTGTTAGATATCTTGTTAATGTGATTTTAGATCTATTTCTGTGCTTGCCCTTCTGTTTGTAACAGCAACCAACCTTTTTTCTTGTGCCTGGATGTTGTAGATTAGATTTCAGGGCATGTATTTATTAAAAAAAAAAAGGGTGATTTTAAGTTTATTAGTAATAATATAAAACTTTTTTTTTTGCTAGAAGTGAAAGTGACTGGATGTCAGTTACTGACTGCAGTAATCTATTTATCTCTCTATGCTTATTTTGTGGATAACAAGTGCCTGTGCAACATTTAGGTTGAAAGAATTATCTGATAGGCAGCAATACTGAAATTTGTGGGTATATCTTCATTTAATGGCTTTGATGTAAGAGACTGCATTCTTTTTGCATTTTTATATGCAACATTCTCCAGCATGTAACAAAAGAGATGCTGGTGTAGCATATGGTTTCTGGAGCTACACTGATTCCCGTGTGAAATACTGAGATGCTGGAACTTTTAAGCGTTAGTAAATCATGGAGATAGATAAGAAAGGTTATTTAGAAGTGTATTTAAACCACACTTTTGTTCAAGTTCGTTCATGATTTCTTTGAGGGCAAAGTTAAAGATATACCAAAGCAGCTCCAATGTAATGTGAAGGGGTTTATGATGCTCCCACGGGAGTGGCACAAGTCAAATGGTAAAGCTCACACTAGCTTCCCTCAAAACCAG